TTTTTTTTTTCATGTGCACTTTCATCAGCGAATGATAATTTTTAACAAATTCTACTGCTCCTGCAGCCTGCTCCCACACTGATCCCCCCCCCCCCATCTCGAGCCCCTTTGACTGCCGCCACCAGCCGGTGACACAGCTCGGCGCCCCAGCTGGGGGCTGCCGGACAGCTGCCGAGCTGCTGCAGCTCTCAGTGGCTTCATCGTCCCAGCGGCGCGCCCGCCGAGCGACATGCACCGCCCGCTGACCGCATGCAACATGCATGAGGCCGGATTTGTTTGCTCAGAGTCCTGGCGGGGCGGTAGGCGCGCGGCGGTCACAAATAGTGACGATGCATCATGACGACGTCTTCATGGCGCTCCGGTGGCGAGCGCTGCCCGAAGCGGGAACACCCAGAGCGCCGGCCGCGTTTATGCAACTGCTGACCCGACGTCGCACGTGACCAGGGTCACTGAACGGTGCCGAGGTGCTGCCTGTCGTCTGGATAGTCGGTTTGGTAGTAAGATAAATGAAGAAGCTTTCTGGGTGGTAGTGGAGCGGATAAAGGAAGTTTGTGTGAAGTTCATGGAAAACGAAATATGAGTTACACGCACATGACGCAATGCAGTCTCCAGTGTGTCCTGCGACACAGTCTACCTCCCAGGACTGCTTTCGAGCATCACACCACCCTTTTTCCGGGTGCCCGCCCGTGTAGCTGACGCCAGTTTTTCACTTCCTGTTGGACTCACGGGACGTCGGCGCCGACTCCCAGTGACGCCGACGGACAACAATGCGTCTTCATCGGCAAAACCGGCGGCCGGCGCGCGCGCTTTGGACGAAAAACGGCGCGCCGCTGCTGATGGATGCGCGCATAGAGGTGCTTCGGTAGCAGGGCCTCACCGTGTCGAAAGCAGGAGGTTTCGGCAGTGTCTCGGCTCCTGGCCACACGTTGGCGGTATTACGGGAATCTTATTTTTCTTGGGATAATGATGACAACGTATAAAAAGCAAGCGACATACGACAGTGAACTATTTTGGACAGCCAGCTAGCATTTGGATAACACGATCTCTTTGCGTTAATATTTGATTTATTTTTACTATGATCACGGCTTTGTTATTATTACTATTTCAATTACAGCACGAATATTTGTAAGTGACATGAAAATGGCTGAAAGGAAAAAAATACAGCTGCACAAAGATCAACGGAATAACACTAGGGAATGTGTGTTTCGCTAGTTATAGTCGTGAATCATGTATTCGTATAATCAAGCACATTTATAAAGGATATTATGTTTAATGCTCTCTAAAATGTAATGAATCATACAAATTTGATTAATATTGTCAAACTTCCCTCTATACCTAATGTTCATGACATGAAACATATTAAAAGTGCATATGATAGCGCAATAAATGATATGCATTGGCCACCTATTAATAAAAGCCTCGCGTGTAGCTATTTCATTGCGACATGAAACATTTCCGGAGCAGACAGCCGACATTAGCCGGGCAAACTGGTCACAAATGTATTGTTTGGCGCCTCGGTAAGTGTCGTCAATTGTTAGCCGGCCTCACTCGGTGTAGGGCCGAGCGCGCGACAATGGCCAGGGCCCGCCGCGCCACTCGAGGCATGTCTCCGGCCGCTCTGTAAAATACTGATTAATTGAGCACCATCACGACACACTGTCCTCGATATTTATCGTTCGGCTTTTGAGCGTTATGGCCGCGGTTAATCATCCGAAGATATAGTTCACAGCGCGCAGAGCGGCGTCGGCCCATTGATTAGGCTGAGTACCTCGCTGTCGGTGCCGAGGAGCTTCTTGAAACGCGCTATAGCTCTCGTCAATCCTTACCCGGGCGCGGCAAACAGCCCCGTCCGGCGGCCGGCCGCCGTGGTCGATCGATTGTTATCGCTCGCAGGATGGTCCTGGCTACTTATAAACGATGTTCGGCGACAGGCTGAGGTATGTGTGCACTGCGCTGACGAGCCGAGCGGCTAATTTCCACCCATTGGCCAAACGCGCCGTGACGAGACCCGCTCGTCCCGGCGGCATCTGTCATTACTTGGGTGCGCCGCGGCCGCGAAAATAGGGCCGTTTCGTCAAGAGAGCTCTCTCCGGACAGACGGTGATTACAGCGGTCACGCGCCTGATCTGCGCTGCCGCCGCCGCCGAATTGCTGGCATTTCTGAGCGCGTCGGCCGGGACCACCAGGACCACAGTGGGACCGCCAGGACCACGACCGGACCACCAGGACCAGACCGCGGCCGTCCAGCGCGCCATGACCAGCAGGTATTTTAATGTGTCGCCCATGGCGTGCGCTGCGCTGAATATGTATGTGTCGCGCCACCCGGGACGGGCCGGCCCCCAATTTGTCATCGCCGCTCGGCGACTCATTAGGTGACGGAAGCGGCGCGGCGGCGGCGAGGGCGGCGCGGCGGCGGACCACCCCGGCCGGCCACGGCGCACCGATAACAGTAATGGCCAGTGGCGTCATTAACAGGCTATTAATCACGCACAGGACACCATCAGCGTGCCAGATTTCCTCTGGACGGTTAGGCGACACACAACCCTTCCCCCGAGTGGAGGATCGCGGCCGTGTTTTGCGCTCACCCGACCTCTGAGGACTCAGGGCACTTCAGCCGGCGGATGCGCTCGCGGGAGATCCGTGAAATTCACCGCCGGCTACTACAATAGTGGTGAGGGAATGTTTGCCAACGGTGAGCAGCTTCAAAGACTGCTGCCGCGGCGCCAGTGACTGATCTGTCGCGACCGACCCATCACACGCACACCGCACGCACAATCACACACACTGTGCGGCGCAGAACACACAGCAGCGATACGGCGATGGTCTGAGCTAGACAGTGAGAGCGCGCAGCCAACGCTGGGACCGAGGACCCTCGCCGAGTCGCCACAATAGGTAATTTATAGATTTTTGACGGGATGTCAGCGGCGCGATCGCCAGTGACGCGTCTCGGTGGGACTCTTGGCGGGTCAGACCGCCCAGGTCGGGCCGCCACGCCGCGGGAGGAAGATCGCTTTGTGGGCGGCAGAAGCCTCTTTGTGAGCGGCAGAGGCCTCTTTATGGGCGGTAGAAGCCTCTTTGTGAGAGGCAGAGGCCTCTTTGTAAGCTGCCGACGGTGGCGGCCCAGTAATGCTGTGAATTTTAGGGACACTCAATGCGAGAAACGATACGAGCACTAACCATTTCATAAAATAAGTTTTCTATGCTCCTTTATCTATAAGTAATATGCAATATGGACGTCCCTTTTATTGTAATAATAGACATTTTCGAGTGAGCCATGAAATAGCGAAATCCACTAAGTGGATAAATCCGTTAGATTTATGCAATATATCTAGATGTGCATTAGTGTTTCTAATTATGTAACATATTTAGTTTTTTTCTATTATTTTCTTTATTCGACAATAAAACTGTTCCATGCAGCTGCACCACCCAGCTGGGTATGCGTGTGTTCTTGGTCCGCTGGCAGCAGCTCTCTGGTCCAACATTAGCACATCACCGGACTATGATGTGATGTGGCTGTGATGTGCCGACTCAGATCTGATGAGCTGTGAGCTGTCGGTCAGCGATCGTCCAGCTCTCGGCCTCCAGAGACTGTCAGCCTGTGAATGAAGGGCTTTCGCAGCCCGCCAGTCCTCCCTCAGTTCCTGTGTCAGCTCTTGATCAGCTGGGAGCAGGTGGGCGGCCGAGGCACTCAAGCAGAAGCTCTGCCCCGACGAACATGCACACACTACCGTAGATGACAGGCTAGGCAGACGTGCGACTAACAGCATGCGGTCTGACTGATGAAATTTTGACGGATCTCTGTGAGGCTCCCGACAGATCAACCGGTAAAGGTGCTTTTGGCAGTGGCCACTGACCATGGCCACAAAATGCATAATTTATCTTGTACTGATGTTATGAAGCCAGCAGTGGAGTGTTTTACCCTGATGCTGATGAAGGTTTGGTATGTAAATAGAAGGCCATCTTCTATTTAGAAAAAGTGTAGCATTATAAGAAAAAATGCGAGCATTAATTTGCAATTTTGGCTATAGAATAATGTTGCAGGATAATAGCGTTGCTGCTTTGTGTGGATCGCCCACGATTGTAAATACAATGCTGCTGTGTGCCATTTTCTGTAACCCTGTTTCGCTTTTGAAACTTTATCAGGGTACGTTTGAACTTTGATTTTATCTGGCTGCTCAATACTCAACCACCTACATTAGCATTTCCCCCAATTAGTCACTCATTCAGAAGCAGTTCCGATTATTCCGGCCCGGAGATCGGTGTGACTGGTCCCGCTGAGTTGGGGCGCCCTCGCCATGGGCGGCGCCGCCACTGATCAGAGTTCGTTCGCCACGCCCTCGCAGCCACAAAGGCACCTAACACGCTGCAGCACTGCGCTTGTGTACCGCTTCTCCCCCAGCGCAAAACACCGGCGATATCTACTGATATTTTGCCGCTCTCAGCTTCCCTGCCTCCGCGGCACAAGAAGCGAAAAATTCCCACTGTGCGCTAGCCGCTAGCCCCGTGAAGTTTTACATGTCGCCCGCCTTTCACTCGATTAACTACCTGCAAGAATGGAGCAGTTTGCAAAAACAGATAGCTCTGGGCGGGCTCGACTGGAGATAGCGGTCGAGCGAGTAACTCGATCGTCCATTAGGGAAAGGGAGGAGAGAGGTGGGAGCGTGGTGAAGAGAGAAGAGGAGCGAGAGGGCGAGAGAGCGATCTGAATCGGCGGTGGTGGTCCGGCGCTAATGGCTGACGGCCGGCCGGGCGACACGGACTGCATGTTTTCAGACGATTAGTCACGCCTGCTCAGTCGTCGGCCCAGAAATCCTCTGTATATTCAATTGCTATCAGCCGGATCGCCGCCGCCGCCGCCGCCGCTCTCAGCGCTGGGAGCGGCGGCGGCCGGCGGCGTCGCTCGCTCCGCCCCCTCAGCAGACGGCGGGCGGTGATTGGCCGGCGGCGGCGCAGGCCCCGCCCTGCTGCCATGGTGACGGCCGGCTGCCGGGCGAGTTCACACCTCCTCCTAGTAGCGAGCGGCGGCCGGGGGAGGGCGCGTCAGGCGGCGGCGATCGATACGAACCCCAGTCGAGCGGCGGAGCCGGCAGCGCAGCGTCCGTCCGTCGTGCGGCCGACCGGTGACCGAGCGACACGCAGCCACAGACAGACATATAGACAGAGAGGGAGCCATGTCGCCGGCCAGCCTGCCCAGCTCGCCGGAAATGGTGCGACCGCGCGCCACAGACTTTTCGATCGCAGCCATCATGGCCCGCAGCAGCAGCCGGGCCGAGGTCAGGTCGGCCACGCCGCCGCTTCTGTCACCAGGTGAGTGCAGACCCAGAGTGACCCGTTCACCCTGGGGAGGAGATGGGATCAGTGGTCTCCAGCCTCCGTTATCTAGTGTCCTGGTGGAACTGGGCTGTCGGTTAGCTGCTGCAGTTTGGCACGATTGCAGCGAATTGGATGTGAGCTTGAGTGGTCCACAAAGGCTACGTTCCAATTTTGAATATGACGCTTTTCTCCAATATCCATTTCTCTAAATCATGATGGAAGTATAAGTTTTATCGCATCTAACACGAATAAACATATCGACTTATCTTTTGCCGAGCTATCAAACTCCAAAATTAGGCAAAACATTTACTAGATCTATGTGCTACAATACCAGTGCACAAATCATAGGCTGTTAGGTCTCAATAGACCCCAAACCAATGATTTATTCCCATCTCATCCTCGTCATGTCGTCCCGCCCTCCTTTTGTCTTTCCACCGGCCCCTCATTAGGGTCCCTCCCAAAACCCACACCTCGCCAGGTGCCCTGGGGAGCAGCTGGCCGGCCGGGACGCTCCTCCTGTTAGTATTCCTCAGGGACGGGCGCCCCGCGTGGCACATGTCGCGCTCAGCGGCCGGGCCAGATACAAATGTGCCGCACCCCGGGAGGCAGCATCGGTCGCCGTTCGACAGAGTCCCAGCTCCCGACCCCGACCCCGACTTCGGCTGCCGACCGCGGAGACCGAGCCGCGCGCTCTCACGTGTGGGGCTCTTGGAATGTCACTGAGAGCTAACTTGCATACAGATTAGAGGACTGAGTGGGCTGCCAATGCACTCATTTGTAATGTCACCAGCCTTTGGAGCATTTTGAGCATGTCATTACCTCTCGCTTCTTTCATGTTATTTCCGATCTAGCCACAGCATAACGTTAATCGTGGTTGGGAGCTGTCTTGAAGCGATTTTCCCGCAGCCAGGTAGTGTATCTGGGGAGGCCCGCCGCCCGGCCGTATCTCCCGCCCCAATCGTCACCCCAGCAGCCCACCACACCACCCACTGTGCACCACTGCGCCCCAGTCAGCCCCCATGGGCCCCTTCCGCCTCAGAAAATCACCTGGTGGTGGCCCGCCCCCAGAAATTGAAACTCTTCCGGACAATGAGTCGGTCGTTGGTGTCCTCTCTAGATGTGGGTTTCACTGCGAGCTCTTCTGTGCCGCTCTAAGTGGGGACATTGTATGATGGTTCGACAGCCCACTGAGTTGGAAATGTGAGGTGGTTTAGGGGAATTTGGTGATGCTTTGTGTGCTCTGGACTCGGTGAGTTGACATTCCCGGCGAAATGCACGATGATAATGGGAAGTCGTCATGACGTATGGGTTCATTTCCGAATCATTGTTCGGTGTTACCCCTTTAGTGGTCAGCTGGAATGCCTGGCTAGGAGTATGGCCCTATACTGTGGTTACAGACAGTCTTTGTGTGGTTCTAAATGTTCTGTTGACTGCCGATGTTCCCTGAATCGCTTTGCGGGCCGTACCGTATTCTTTAGTTTATAAAATTAAAATATGTAGTTCCGAGTAATTGCAACAGCAATGAACGTGATGGAAACACCGATCCAGCAAGTGTCCATTCCGCTATTCATTATATCTACTAGTTACAGCTAAACCTGTTTATTCATAAAAGCAATATAATAACCCGGAACAAAAATGATAGACGTCTATCATTTTTGTTCCGTGTTATTATACTTGTCTCAACTGGGATACAATATATCATAAAAGCAATATTTAAAATTCGCCTCGCCTTGTTTCCTTTCTGAAATCCTTTATCTTCTACACAGTGTCTCTATGTCCATCTGTGTGAGCAGTGCACGTTCCAAGCAGTTGTCGGGTTGTTCGCTGTAGGTCTGAACAGAAACACTGGTCAGTCTTGTATGGTACACCTCAGAGCGCGCGCTGGTCAATCTGATAGCGCCAAACAGCTGCTTGGGCGGCGTTTCCGGCCCCTCCCGGACGGCAGCCGTGGTGGGCTGCAACATGCCGTGTGGGCTGCAGCAGCTGTGGTGAATGGGCTGTGGCAGCTGGGCTGTGGCAGGGCTGGACTGTGGCGGCTGGGGCTGTGGTGGATGGGATGTGGCGGCTGGGCTGTGGCGACTGGGCTGTGGCGGCTGAGCTGTGGCGACTGGGCTGTGGCGGCTGGGCTGTGGCGGCTGGGGCTGTGGTGGCTGGGCTGTGGCGACTGGGCTGTGGGGGCGGAGCTGTTGCGGCTGGGGCTGTGGTGGATGGGATGTGGCGGCTTGGCTGTGGCGGCTCGGCTGTGGGGGCGGAGCTGTGGGGGCGGTGCTGTTGCGGCTGGGCTGTGACGGCTGGGCTGTGGCGGTGGAGCTGTGGCAGCTGGACTGTGGCGGCTGGGCTGTGGCGGCTGGGATGTGGCGACTGGGCTGTGGCGGCTGGACTGTGGCGGCTGGGCTATGATGACAGCAGCTGTGTAATGAATCTGCTATGGGACGGTTGGGGCCGAAAGCTTTTTGGAGAGCTGCTATGACCAGGCTAGAAGAAGCCTATGTTTTCTTGGTCCTGTATGAACATAACTTCACAGACTGCTGTTGACTTGTGGAAGCTGATACTGTGGCTGCTACGGTTCAACTCCGCCTGTGACACTTGTAACGCCAGTTATGGCTGTGAAGACTGTTGCTGTGAGACAGCTGTTGCATTGATGTAGCAACTGCTGTAGATGTAGCTCAGTTGTGCCATTTCGGCTGTAGCTGCTGTTCGGGCACCTGCTGTCGTAAGTGTTCCTGGTTGATGGCTGCTGTTGCTGCGGCTGTTGCTGCTGCGATTACGGTTGGGGCTGCTGTTGCTTCGGTGACTTCTGCTGCTGAGCTGTCGGTACTGTCAGAGATTTGGAATCGCAGTCGCCGGGATATAACGTCTTCATCATGACGCTTATCTTCATTTCAAGCTTCGATGCTTTTAGTTGAAAAAGTTTGGCACATGGGGTCTCATGTCAACATTGAAATCAAGCAGAAAATAAGAAATATTTCGTTTTATTCCGTCTAAGCTTTTCAGAGATGTACGAACGAATCACGGTTTTGAGTTTTATTGATCCATTACGACAATGACAAATGTCACAACTCTATGGTCGACAGTTGTTGCTGTCGACTTTCAACTCCAGATTCAGCTTGAGCCATTCTTTCTGCGTCATTGGCTACCAATGACAGTGTTTCCACATATCTGGCAACGTTTCCACATGTTTGTAGGCGCCTGTTCCCAGCCAGTCTGTACCAGCGCCATATGGCAACCGAGCTGAGTGGTCAGCCATCCATCTTCAATCGCCCCGAGCTCTCGTTTCTGAATATAACAGACTCTGTAACTCTGTAAGACGTATGAGCGAGCCGCCATTCGTGTTGAGGAACAAATAGGTGAAATGGATGATGTGCGCGAGATGCACTCTTCGGTCCTTTGGTCTCCTGCACAGCGGGATAGAAGAAGGAGAAATAGAAAGAGAAAGAGAAAGAGAAAGAGAAAGAGAAAGAGAAAGAGAAAGAGAAAGAGAAAGAATGAGGAGGGAGAGAGAGAGAGAGAGAGAGAGAGGGAGAGGGAGAGAGGGAGATGAGAAGGAACGAGAGGAAGAAGGTTGAGATGGCTGCATTGACCGGTATTTCCGACCATTGCCCAGTCAAATTTGTACCCCAACCTATCCGTTGACAGTTACCGCGAGTGGACATCGAACTGAATTCATTGCATGATAATTCTCTTTTGTCGTCTTTTTCTGTAAATAATTGTCGAGGGAAAAGGTGCAAGCATGGTTTTAGTTGCTGATATTTTTATTTTTGGCATGCCCCTGGAATTTTGAACAAAACTTATCTACTTTCACAAGTCAATTTGATCTTGGTTTTACTATGGATAACAAATGCTCGCATAAAGAATATTTGTAAATGAACTGTGAGCAACAGGCATCATGTATAAAGTGAAAATAATTAAAAAAAAAAAACACTGACAAAGAACTTGTATTCACTATTTCATAACATCTAACCCTTCTCTTGGTGACTGCTGATGTTCCCCGTACGGGCCCCACGCATTTACAACCACTCTGCGCTGTGGTTCCCCCGTACAACAGTCGGTGAAAGGTCATGACCGAGGTTGTGTCAGCGTTTGACGAGCATACAACTGCTACACGTCATGTTTAACCCCTCTACGGTTATATCTGCAGGTGGTGGTGACAGAACCATTGACTGTCCTGAACTTTACACAGCGCGATCACAATAGCATGGTTCTATTGCTGTCGTTTGTTTTGACGATTGGTCATATGACGTCAAGCCCCAATGGAAAGAGGCTCAAAACAGGAACATCGACTGCCGAATGTGTTTGATGACGTCACTTCCTGTGGCAATGATCATCACAATGCTGTCTAATTCTATATATGGACAGAAATGTCTGGAAGGCTCTCAGTACGCTGAGCCATTCACATATGCTCCCAGCATTTTTGCTTGCATATGCTCCTCAAATAGCAGCATTCTGGCACCAGTGGACCCATTTGGGCGTCAGTGTCCACGGCGCTGTGTGGAGAACGGCTGTGACTTACTGCGGGTGGTCCGTGTGCGCGTCAATGGCTCATGACGGCTGCAGCACGGAGGCACCAGTCCACTGCGTCCGTTTTCGCACTAATTAGAACGTGATGATGCTAACTGCCCGCGCGGCCGGCATTAATTCCATTATCTGTGATCTGTGTGCCGTACATTCTTGTCAAACAAGCTGGTGTACACGCCGTTATCATTTGAAATGAGGGCTCAGTCGGCAATATTGCCGTTATCTATCATTCTGTTCACACTACCATTTCATGCTGAAAACTATGTCTTGTTCTGCTGTGCTGGGCTAACGGCATTCTAGGGCGAGGCAGACCTACTCATGGTGATTGGTTAATTGCCTAAATGGGTAGTTTTTGAATTTATGGAAGAGAAAGCAAATAATTTATCCATATTACACAGAAACTTGGTGAAATTCCACGTACGACCTAAATCAAAAATGTAAATACGGGTTTTATGTAAATATGGTTAATTGCTCCTGCA